AACCCATAAAACAGCAAACGGCCACATAATGCAAAACTATTTAAAGTTAAAACATAACAGTAGAGAAAATCCGATCAGAATGACCAAATAAACTAAGCATCCACTGGAAGGTATCCCAATATCTGCAGACCGATTCGTTTCGGCCTTCCAGGCCTCATCAGTGCAGCTAGGATATAGACCCAAACGACACGTTCTACCAGCTTAGGTAGGGCTCAAACTAGTCCAAACACCACTAATGATTACAGAGCCAAACCAAGCCAATATATATACACAGCCCAGGTGTGAATGCAAATAGTGGAATACAAGCTATGTGGCTCGGTTCCAGTAGATACAGAGAATATTTTGTCATTCTTATCGCGTCCTACAAAATTCTTACGACACAGCACTAGTCCGTGAATTTGTGAACAAGATCGGAGATCTAAAGATGCAATCTCTACCGTGCATCAGTGGCGGCCCGCTGGATCTCAATATATATATATATATATATATATACTGTACCAGATTTGATTAATCAACCTCATTAATCAATTTTATACTTTGTTTCCGAGTTACATATGATAGAAGCAGTGCCCGGTTTCCATCATTTACCTGATTTATACATTTAGCATAAGGTCCAAGGGCTTTGCTAATTATTTAGGACGGCCACTTTGACCGTGATGGCTTGACCTAATCAGCTAGGCCTAGCCTAATTGGGCCTGGTCTACCTTAATAGCAAATTCTTTATATTCTTCAGATCTATCGAATGTTACATTAAACTAAAGCTTGAGATTCGATTCCCCGACATATTGTTGGTGTTCATAACTCTCTGGTTATAATTATTCATGAAATACCGTAAAGAAGAATTAAAAATTTTCTATTTTTTTTCCCTTATTTTTGAGAGGGGGCGTGGCTCCAAGTGGGCCATCGGTTTCCAATTTAGATGGCCTATTTAGTTTTTCTCGCTAAACCCCTGATGAGGTCACAGGTTGTGAATGCCGCTGGAGACATTTTTATGCAATTGGTAATGGGCAATACCTGATATAACATCGTTTCTTCCTATATTATTATGAGCAATATACTTTCTGTGATTATATTTATACACCTTTTAAATTTATTTTCAGAGATGGAGACGTTGCTTAATTGTCGACCTTTAAGGCCAGATGCAAGGATTCGTCTGTTTTGCTTTCCCTGGGCAGGAGGTGGAACTAATTTTTATGCAAATTGGAGCAAGGTTTTACCTCAATCTATAGAAGGTGATAATAAGCAATGAAAGTTAAGAACTGTGGTTTATTCATTTTATTTTATTCTATATTTAATATTATTTATTTGTTTAATTCATCACTCAATATTCTTGTTTTCTGTCCTTTCAATTTTTATTTCAATAATTATGTTCACTAGAGTCTATTTTGTTTGTCTGACATTTTTTTAACCATTGTTGGGACTGTTTCCTTCATGAAAACCTACCTCAAAATAATCAAAAGGTACATTTGTTATTATTTTCATGTGAATGAGAAAAAATAGCAAGCCAATAATCTTTGTCAAAATAGTAAACCCTAAATTTTTACAAGAGAACAATTTACATTTAAAAAAATTGAAAATGGTGAGGAAATATTTCTTATTCTCCTGTAGTTTCCTCTAAACTCTGGAAAGTATAATTCTGAACAACAAAATGTTAATTAAAAAACATGGAAATGGCAAGAATATTTTCTTATTCTAATTTTCAATAAAAAGGTAATAAATCAAACAACGCATGCAATTGTCATACTAAATAAGTTCATTAGTTTTATAAATAACAATAAATATATAATGTTTATAAAATTTATTTGCTTAATATCACAGACAGTATCTTAAGATATATGTACTACAGTATTTGGCATTTTTTACCCTCAAAACTTGCCACTGAGTGGGGACCTGTGTTGTCCAAAAACTCTGGTTCTATTTATGGCTGTTTACTTACATTTACAGTTTAGCTGCTGTTTATCAATTTGTATCTCTACTGAGATCCAGCCATTGTTTCCTTCAGCGTTGTTATTTTTTCAGTATTTTGCCTTTTAATTATAATTTATTTTGTAATTATAGTATGTGCAATTCGATTAGCTGGCAGAGAGAGTCGTTTCAAGGATAAACTATGCAGTGATATGTCAACAGCAGTTGCAGAAATAGCTAATACACTTATTCCCAAGTTTCAATCAAAGCCTTTTGCTTTTTTTGGTCATAGGTATGTACAGTATAGGCCAACAAAGAGGCGGATCCACAATTTTTTCAAACAGGGGGTACAACCTTTTGAGAATAAGATAAGTGAGTAGCGCTAATTTCAATATATGCATTGAAATTTCAAAATTTAGGGGCAAAAAGGGGAACATGCCCCCGTGCCCCCACTTGATCTGCGCCTGCAACATATCTTGTAAACATTACTACTTCCAGTATATTCTATAATTAAGTACTATTTATCGCCTTTAGTGAAATAACATATGATTAGATTTAGTCCTGCACGAAAAATTCTCCAGGACCCCTGCTTTTTTGGAAAAAAAACCTGGGTGATTCCGATTGTTATGAATGCCAAAACAATATATTCACATTTTAAGTGATTGTTGTATTTTTTCTATATATGCTTTTGTTAGTTATTAAAATATTTTTGGTAATTATATCAAGTCTTAGTCAGGCTTTTAATAATGTTATTTTATTCTTGAATATTTTATTTACTGTAGACCAGCATCAAAGGTCTTATAATAACAAGATAGCGTTCTCCGCTATTTCTGTATGCAAATTTTGTAACAACGCAGTGTGGGTCGCCCTCTCGCAATTACAATTACTTTTCAACTTTGACATTAATGATCTTTAACTAAAGATAGCACCTTCCACTATTTCTGCTTGGAAATTCTGTAACAACTAGAATGCCCTCCCTCAATTGCAATTACTTTTTATGCTTCTTTTTACTAAACTTTGACGCTTCGATTTGTTACTTGTAGGATCGCGGATAGGGCTAACTTGTTTTTATAAAATCTGGTCTATATTAAATAAAGTAATCACAAGTTATTATAAGATCTTTGACCAGATACAGTAATAGCTCAATCTTGTGAATTAAATGAGGGCGACAAACAAGTGTACTAGAGCTAAATTTTTATTAGTACAACTGGTATCCACTCAAACTGGCAGCTACATGAACTGGAATCATACAGTATAGAATGTAGTTGTTTGTTATTACTCATGCTGTTACTCTAACACACTGCCCACATTACCATGCCATGTTTTATGTGACATGTGAATAATGTCATATCACTAGCAAACAGGTTTTTGATACACAGTGGTGGATTTGACGTGGGAAGCCGGCCTGGACCCTCTAAATTTTCCAGAATAAAAAAAAAATGGAGGAAAAATAGTTGTATTAAAATTTATTTCAGGCCATTTAGGGCTGCCATAATCATAAGTTTGGTTCAACTAAATGTTTCAACCATGGTGAGAATACCTTGCATCTGCAAATGTCTCTTCCTGGCTCACTCTATTTCGAATTCCTACATCCGCCACTGACAGTGACATAAAATATTTAATAGTTTGCACATTTCTTTATTGTTATCATCTTTATACGATGCAAGTTCTCTATAATTGTAATGATAATGTCATATAATGGCACATGTATTCATCTCAGCTGCTCTCTGTTATTAGAGTTGTTTAAACTTACATATTTAAAAGCAACAAAATGATATTTTTCCACTAGTATGGGGGCAGCCCTCGCATTTGAAGTTTCCTGCTATCTCAAGAAGTACTACGGATTACAGCCAGTTCATTTATTTGTCTCTGGATTCACCTCTCCTCAGGTAACTCCTACAAAATAACTCATTATTGACTACCTACTTCACAAATTTTATAACAAAGAAGAAATGCTCTGCCCACACCATCAAATTTATTTTAATTTAATTTAATTTATTAGTTATTTAGGCACACAATACATGTGCTAAGGATTGTCAATAGCAAATATATCACTGTCGTGAGAAAAAATCCTGCAACACTGACAGGAATTGAACCCAGGATCCTGGAATTGGAAGGCAAACATCTTAACCACCAAGCTATTCAACTATTTGTTTATTTGTTTGAGTGTAATATCACATCAAACAAATTTGTCATATAAAATTTGTTAGTGTGGACAGAGCTTAATACATTCAATAATAATAATAATAATAATATGAATAATAATAATAATGGTAATAATAATAATAATGGTAATTATAATAACAATAATAATAATAATGAAAGAAAACAGCTTAGCTCAGTCAGCTAATCTGGTGGTAGCCACTGTGTGTGCGCAGAACCGAGGAGATCTCTAGGTCCCTGGTCCAATTCCCATCGCTGCCTCTCCTTGTGTTTCAGCTAGAGGGCTGAAATACAAGTTACATAGCGCACCGTCTTTCCGATGAGATGTTTAAGCTGTTGGTCCCATGTGCATTATGACCCATGTGCGTGTTAAAGAAGGCAGTACACTCTTTGGAAAAGATTAGGGGATTATCTCCCGGTGTACTGCCCATTCACCACCAGAAGGACCCCACTGGAAATAAGTCTTCTTCTAGACTTTTGTGGGATATCCTTGGTGTTTACACCGAATAAATACAATAATAATAATAATGGTAATAATAATAATAATAATAATAATAATGGTAATAATAATAATAATAATAATAATAATGGTAATAATAATAATAATAATGGTAATAATAATAATAATAAAATGGTAATAATAATAATAATAATAATAATAATAATAATGTTAATAATAATAATAATAATAATAATAATAATAATAATGGTAATAATAATAATAATAATAGGTCTAATAATAATTATTATATTTTTTTCTGTGAAGCGCTTCAAGGCCTTGTTGGCATTAAGCGCCATATAAGTTTACCATTACGGTATTAATATTACGTTCACAATTTTTAAGGTTCCAATAGCTGACATTGATCATTTGATTATGCTTTTTAGTCTGCAGCTCGAAGAATAAAGACTGATTGGATGAAGATGTCGGATGAGGAATTTGTAGAAAGCGTAAGACGGATTGGCGGAACACCAGAAGAGGTTTTATCCAACCGCGACCTTATGAAGATATTTATGCCGCCATTGCGAGCAGACTTTCATTTGATTCAACATTATGAGTATGTTTCTTAAAGCTCTGTGCAGACAATCAAATTTTATTTGACAAGCACGTGCGATATGCATTAATATGGTCATGATGACTTCACATCATGACCTTATATAGGCACATCATAACTATGGGCATACAACAGATTTTTGTCATAAGAAAAATGTTATAGTCTGAACATAGCCTTAACCCTGGCTTCTAATCCCCTTTGTTTTATAATTCTATTTAAATAGTGTAGCTTTATTGTAATTCAGTTTTTATTATAGTAAGCCATTTTAAGCCATCATAATTTATAGGATTTTATATACAGTATGTATAGTTTCTATTTTTGTAATTAATCATTCAGTTCATTTTATTATGCTATGATGATTAAATAAAATATACCAGAATATATTTTTAATCCACTGAATTAGTAGGGCTTTCTAAAAAGGTATACATTGGTCCTGCGTAAGCTTTCTCAACCAGGTTTTATTTTGTGTGATCTTATCACTCTGTCCTTTGTAGAACTACAAGGCACTTTACATACTAAAAACACAGTTTGGGAGTAAACCTAGCAACAAAGGAGGGTTGCTTTCCATGCAATCGCTACACTGTCCTTACAGCAATTGCTACACAGTATAAGCCTGGTTTCCTTAAAATCCCTACACTCTCCATAAAGTGATTTCAGTGCAATCGCTACACTGCGTAAAAGTCACCAGCACAATCGTGAAGGCTCCCCCAACCGACCAATCGGCATCACAGAAAGTTGTCAGCAATAACATGCAGCGATTGTATGGAAACCAAGCTTTATGAAAAAGGAATGGTTTTTCCTTGCTTCATTCAGATCTTATTTGTTTATTGTTTTGTTTTGTTGTTTTTCCTATCGAACCCTTTTGCTTGGAGTTTCTGTTTCATTGCATTATTTATGTTTGTACACTTTGTTTGGGTTTGGTTTGTATGCAAGCTCTGCTCGGGGGGATTTTTTGACTTATTGTGGAGAGAGGCTACAAGTAACAAGTTGCTCACTATAGTATTTTAACTATCTAATAAATATTTGATCTTGCTCAATACAACTTATTATGGTATTTTAATACTATTTTGCAGGTATGATCTTCCAGAGGGCGCACCACCACTTTCATGCCCAGTCAGTTTCACTGATGGAGACAAAGATAAACCTCATGATATTCCTGGTAAGTTACGAATTTAATCTTAGTGATTGTTTATTTTTTCTTAAATTAACAATATATTTTGTTTAAATGATTCTTTTTTTTTTCTTGTTAAACAATTTTGTAATTGGATCCCACATGCTCTATGAACAAATTCAAACAAATATTTATAATTTTAAATGTAATTTTGAAAAAGGATCTATGTACAGTATATTTACCTCGAATAGATATAATTATCTTCTCCTCAGGACACAAATTCACGACCAGACAACATTTAATAGTCACACACTCCTGAGGCATGTTCTTAGGGACATGCATGAATGTTTTCAAATTAATCTTATTGTACCTCAAGGCTGATATGTTAATTATCCATATGCTATTTATATCTCTGAAGGTTGGAGTGATATCACCAGCGGAGAGTTCAGTAATTTTATCATGCCGGGCGGACATTTTTACCTGCAAGAAAAAGAAAATGGGAATCAACTTATGCAGTACATTGCCAAGAAGATCTTATGAAATTTATTGTTACAGCTTTGATAGATTTTGCCGATAAAGAGAATTATGTAGTTTATTATGAATTTATATATAAATTATGCAAAATTTGGTCATTCTCAAGAATGGCTTGTTTATTATAGTAGTAGATAAAAGTGGTTTGGCGCAGCGGTAACAATTTTGATTCTCAATGGTTTTAATCCCTCGCTGTGCATTTCACTTGTGTCCTTGATCAAGGCACTTTATCTACATTGCTTCTCCCCATCCAGGAGTACAAGCGGGTACCTTCTAGGGTTAAAATACCAAATGCACTGATTGGCTGTTGCAACGTTATGGAATATTCCCCCGGGGAGCTGAGTTTGTGTTCCATAGGCGTTTAATCCAATGACCGGGGTAATGATAATGTGAAGCCCCTTATGATAAGAGAGGGCTTATCATAAGGGGCTATGTAAGCCTACTATTATTACTTCAAGGGTTTTAGAAAACTGAGCTCTATAAAATGGAAGTGGTAGTAGAATGAGGGGTGCAGAGACCCACAAACAAAATGTGTATACACAATGATCAATATATATATATATATATATTTTTTTAAATAAAAATTTTTTGTAAATTTAAGATTAATACTTTTATTACTCAGTAATAATATATATAGGCATACAGCTTGTATGTGTGCCATTTTATCAGGGAACAGTTAAATTACTGTAACTTCCAAGTTATAAAAATAATGAAATTATGCATTAAACTGTTTCTACGTAAATTTTTTTTTTTTTTTTCAGGCAAAGTTAGGCAAACCAAAATTAGGCACATGAAATAACAGATATGAATTGGTAACTTCATGTAGACACAGAAAAAAAACATCTATTGTGTAACAACTAAGCAATATTAACACTTCAGCTAAACAATGGTAGGAACCATAGCAACGTATATTCGCCTTATTTCTTAAATTAAATAAATGTAATTCTTGTACCTGTCTCTTATACACATCTAGATGTGTATAAGAGACAGATAATGGTAATTATAATAACAATAATAATAATAATGAAAGAAAACAGCTTAGCTCAGTCAGCTAATCTGGTGGTAGCCACTGTGTGTGCGCAGAACCGAGGAGATCTCTAGGTCCCTGGTCCAATTCCCATCGCTGCCTCTCCTTGTGTTTCAGCTAGAGGGCTGAAATACAAGTTACATAGCGCACCGTCTTTCCGATGAGATGTTTAAGCTGTTGGTCCCATGTGCATTATGACCCATGTATTATAAACTTTATTGATTAGACCTACATTATTTCATATAATATATTTTTCTATAAACTATTTTAATTAATTAAATATAAACTCTGGAAGTAAATTTACATAGATTAGATCAATTAAATGGACATAGTAGTAATCCTTTCTCCAAACCAAAAGGCTTTTTCTATAAATGGAATGACCTGTTTCGAAGCACATACTCCAATAGACCAAACCCTGTACCGTTAAGATTTTTTAGTGTGCGGGAAATCCACTCAAGATAAAATCAAACACCTAAAGTCACTGGTTATGCAAATTGTCAGTCAGCTATGAACTAGTAAATAGGGAGCTATGTATACAAACCTATGGTAAAAATCATGGGGGCATCCTGAGATTTTACATATTTTGCTAATTGCACCAAATATTGATGGTTTTGGAGAAAATAATTCACAAGTCTGTTAGAACTCATAAAGTTCTATTAATAAAACCAATTAGGAATTTTAAAATTTGTCATGGTTTACCAAAACTATACTTTGGCTTTAATTGATATTTGTTGTGACCTTTCAAAAAATAAACACTCAGAAGGCTATAATGAATCTAGCCTTATCCAACTTGCTAGAACTTCTAGTCTTTGATGCCTCACAAATAGGCTTCAAATGTTGTGTCAATAAATTATATATTTATATCGTATTTTGTGTGTATAGTTATGTTTAAATAGTCGTAATTCAATTTGTGTGTGAAGAAAGTATTATTCAGAGTGAGATTGAGAGGAAGAGATGTGTCAAAACATTTGTTTCCTATTTCAAACAGTGACAAATTGTGAGCAAAATAGTTCATGTCATTAGAGTTCTGTACTTCAAAAAATACTATAGACTAAAATATCTTAAATAAGATAAAGACAGGTTATAGTTAATAGTTTAGGCCTATAGCATCATATTATGAATTGTATGTGTTTGTGACAAGAAAATGTGTTCACATCATCCAAAAAAATCTGTAAGAAATACTGTCCCAAAATGTGTCAGAGCGTAGATCTATTTTTAATGCCCATGTCTCTTTTAGAATAAATTGGAGTCGTAGGCGTGGTGTGGTTTGCTTATCAACTCCTAAAATAATTTTTTTATTCGATTTTTTAAATTAAAAAAAAAACAAAAAAACATTTAAATATTGTTTTTTATAAATTAATTTTTTTATTTTATTTTGATTTATCATTATTACAGTACTGTATTATTATTATTATTTTTATTATTATTATTATTTTGTTTTTTTTTTTGTTTTTTTTTGCTTTTTCGGTCTTCAAAATTGTTACTTACCCACCCCCTCCCCCGCTCATCAGCATTTTGGAGTGTAATATAGATAATAACAGTGTGGGATGATTTAGCAGAATTTTTTGCTGCCCCCTAGGGTAGCAGAATGTAATTTTTGCGCTGGTCACGCTGCTCACTTATTCGTTCACTGACGTTGTGGTTTAGGGCGAGTCGGAATGGCGTTAGAATAACAGTGAGTTTATTGATTACATTCCTTTAGAAACATTGCATGACATAAATTGAAAAGTCACACCAGGTTCATGTGTGTTTAATGTGCATTACTTATGTATTAATGGCCATGTATGTTTGCTAAGCGTAACACAGGCTTGCCGAACAACCTGGTTGCACAGTGCTGAGTGAGGGAAGCTTGGTAGGGCTCAACCGAGTAAGTGTAGGCCTAGGACTCAAGGCAAGAAACTAGCCTAGGCTAGGTCTATGCTAAATTGCTGTGGCTGCCAGCCGTTTGTAGCTTATAGCCAAACATTCATTTACAGAAAATACTAAATATGATTCATAATAAACATATGCTTGGTTTTTAGTTCCTCATTTGTATTTGTAATACCAGTACTTGGTCTTTTGTACGACTCCTAGGCCTAGCCCTATCCTAGGCCTAGGCCTTAGGATTGTTTATTTGATTGGATATTTAAATTATACGGTTTGAACAACAACTGGATGGGGCTACTCCTAGAGGTCTAGGCTAGTCTAAAGGACCTCTTAGTCAAGGCATAAAGGCTTGGTAGTGCAGGCCCTGGCTTGTTTCAAGCAGGCTATGCCTAGTAGTAGGCCTCTACTAGCTAGGCCTAGACCAGTGATGTCCAGACTTAAGGCCTGATTGGTGCATATATCTACCGTGCAAAAATGGTGTAGGACCTGTTCGGCCACGATATATTTGTATGGAGCGCCAAGTAGGTGCAAAGCTGTGTATGCTGTACGTCGTGTATGTGGTTAATCTATGGCTGCTAAAGTATCCATTATTTCATGTTTTATTGTTAGATTTTAATATGCTGCCAAATTATACTGCCATTAGTTTGCCAAAACAGTGGGTTTTATAGGTTTGTGTAAGTCCTGTGTAAGTTAATATTAATTATTTAGATGGCATATTTCAGTTTATCTATTTGGAACAAACGAATGTACATTATTATGCAATCATATGTTGATAATTAAACCAAATGAAATGGATTTTATTATTTGTGTGTGGTTAATCTACAGTATTGCTGCTACAGATCCATGATTTTGTGTTGTTTTATCAGGTCTTTATGCTGCAAATTAATTAATGTGGTTTTAAGCAATTCAATGGCATTAATACTGCGATAAGTATTAAAACAAGTAGTGGATTTTATTAGGTTTGTGTAAATGTTTTAAAATTCATATATTTCGTTTTATTTATTTGAAACAAACGAACATTGGATTTTATTAGGTTTGTGTAAGTTAATAATAATGTTTTAAGATTCATATATTTCGTTTTTTTTCTATTTCAAACAAACGAATGTACATATGCATTTACATGTGAAATATCAAGCCAAAGGATTTTATTATTTTCATATTACAGTGTCGATGTTTATATTATTGAAGAGGAAGAAGAAGAATAATGTTGATAATATTAATATACTGCCAAATCAATGGATTGTTAATATATTTTTCATATTATTAAAGCTTACAGTATTTGATGCTTTATGCTTTGTTGTATATTATGTCTAGTCTTATGCTCTTAAATGATTGGTTGATTGATTTGAAGCAGGAAGTATACAGTATAAACGCCACAAAAAAAAATCACATTATTGATACCCCGTCCGGCACTCAACATTCCCGACCGACGCTGACAGGCTGCCGACCGGCACTTTTTTTTCAATGATTCTATCTATTACTAAGTTTAGAAACAAAACAAAATAAATAAATAAAATAAATAAATAAATACATCGTCCTAAAATCAAGAACTTAAATAAATACAGCAATTATGATCTTTACAGCAATAACAAGGGATGGCTGCCATAGCAGTCTCCTCTGTGCCAGTCCCTTGTTTACATCCAACTCCCATGTTACAGTAGGTCACTTGTCACCATCACCAAATCCTTCTATTGAATTGTAAATGTTGGTAAAATTTGTGTAGGCCTAGGTCTAATATAGCAGTCTTAAACAAAAACATGCACCAAACTTTACATTGCCCTTTTTATGTTCTTGATCGAACTGGCTGCACTATACACATTGTGTATATGTCATTGCTAAACCGAGCACTGTCAAGGAAGATAATTGAACATACTGTGGACACTGTCCGTAAAACGCTTGCTAAAGATGTGTTTTTTTCTCAAGAAATAATACAGATTTGTAACCGATTTGAAATTGTTAATATATTGTGCTGAAGTGGCAGAAAATGCATTTCCTGGATATAGAGAATAATATTTTGTCCAACTTGGAATGTCTTTGCCTTATTTTGTGTTTTGTGTTTTTTTTTTAATATAGAACATAATGTCTTTGAAACCACGTGTGGTGGATTTTGATCAAACATGGCGGGATCTGAAGGAAACTGTCGAGGGCGTGATCCAACTTGGAAAAGTCAAAAGAAGTACATGGAATGATCGTTTCCTGTATCCTTTTACAAAACTCCATCACTTAATCTAAATTATTTTTTATAATTTTCAACTTGATAAAAGAATACTAATTGTTCTTCCAAAAGCATGTGACATTTTATGTTAAACTCTTTTTATACCTTTTTTAGCAAACCCGCCGACTGCAAATATTGATGATTTTGAATAAAAATTAAATTTTATTTTTGGCCAATTAGCGCACCAGCCGCCACAAAATTTAATTATTAATTATATATTTATTTTATTTTTATTTTATTTTTTTTTAAATTATTTTATTTATTTTATTTTTTTTTTGGCCTTGGCCATTGTTTGCTCGTTTTTACTTCCAGAGAACAGAGATTTATATATTTATTTTATGTATTTTTCATTAAATCAGTGGAGAAACTTTGTGCAGCAATTTAGTTTGTTTTTTGTTCGTTTTGTATTTGTTGGACAAAATAAATGAAATGAAATGAAAAAGTGGAAATTTCAGAAAAAAATAAAAGTTTTTCTTTATTTTTATTACGCCCTCCACTGTCTTGAAATCTCCAAAGATAAGATACGTACATTTCTTCCAAATTATATAAATTTGAAGCATTTAACCATCCTATTTTACATTCACCAATAAAAGTTTATTTTTATTTTTTGGCAAAACTATTTGCTGAATAAGAAAACAAAATTTTATTTTTAGTTTTAGTTTGGTCCCCTCCTCCAATGGTCTAAATAAAAATAAATATATAAATTATCAAAGTGGTCTTTCACATTAGACCCCTTTGATAAAATATCCAATCTATCAAGAAATCTGCAATTTCATAAATTGATTATTTTGTTGTTTCATTTCCTAATAAGCATTCAGTGCATTTATGAATACAGTACTTATGTTTAAAAGTGTTGGTAACATCTGTTACTATATATAAATTCCAACATACCTATTCTGTGTACTTCAAAACACCAGTACACCAATATACTTAAAGATTTCCTTCTCTGATACTGCATCTGTTGGGTCCACCTGCTTCTAAAAATATTTTGATTTATCACTCTACATTTTCAGAAAAAACAAAATACATTTTGATCAACTTTCCCCAGCCATATTTGATTTCCTTATGTTTTCCCATCAGAGATGTCTATGCCCTTTGTGTAGCTTTCCCTGATAATTTGGGAGAAAAATTGTATGACGAAACCAAATTGTTCTTGGAGAATCATGTGCAAGATTTATACAAGGTAAGAAATTTAAAGCCTACACATTTTTTGGATTTAGATTTATTTGAGTTGTCCCATACAAGAGTTAACAATTTGCAAACAGCCGCTATTAACTATATTAAATCAATTGAAGCCCACTGAACACAGTTTAAAAATCTTCGCAGACGAACACAAAAATAAATGGTTTGTGAAACTATATTCTCTTTAAATGTGCTGCTGAATTTGATTTTATTTTTCACCTCTTGAGCTGTACAGTACTAAGTAGATGACAAACACAAGCTATGTGATCTTGTTCTTAAATTATTTATTGGCATATTCCATTGTTTACAAGCAGAAACAAATTTGTAAACAGTTATTTACTTGTGGATGGTCATAATTTTGTTTATTATTTATTGATAAATTATCTTTACTTCTTTCTTTCTAATCTATATTACAAGGGTGTCTGTGATACAGATGAAAATATGTTAGTGAATTACCAGAAGACATGGGAAAGATATAGTGAGGGGGCAAGTTATTTAGACCAACTTTACAGGCAAGTGCAGAACTAGCATACTTTTTGGTGGTAATAGTGAGGGGTTATCAGTCTAACTTAACATATGAAATAGATATTTTGAGGTGTATAACCATGTCCATCTATGAATCTTGGAGTGGAGAAATTAGTGAAAAGAAAAATAATCCTTTTTCTAGGATCGAACCCATTGTTTTCCTGGCATTAATTTTATAATTAAATTGACTTATGATCAAATGAATCAGTAATGATTTAACATCATAGTGTTTTTGCTGCGAAGCAGCCAATTCATATTCTTGACAGCAATTTGACCTCTGAAAGGTCATTGTCAAAAAACGAGTGCCTAAGACGACTGAAAAGCGGAGTTTCCTTCTTTCGTTCTGCCGTGTAAAATCAATTACTTTAGGCGATGTTTGTAGACTAACCTACTCGTACCAACGTCCGCATGTCGCGCTAGCCTTATCCTACTCTAGGCCTAGACTAGCTAGGTTGGTATAAGCCTAGCCTTGAAGACGAAGGTCCCAATGAAAAACACCGTTGCTCTTTGATAGCTAACATTGTCTATTTAACATCACAATAATTCATTATTAGACCTATAGTTGTTTTTTGAATTGTACTCCACAAATCTCAGCCGATACCTCGCACAACTGGCTAACGTCTCTA